AGTGGAGGATGATTGTGTGTGCTTTGGGAGTGAGTTGGTGCTGTTCAGCCTAATATAGTGGGTAGCAACTGCTGCAATGTCAGATGTCCATCAATTAGTGGAGATTTAAACTGAGGTCCCAAATGAGGGTATAAAAATTTACATGGCACTATTTTGGTGAACAGCAGTTGAGGGCTTTCCCTGTTGTGCTGGCCAATATTTATCCCTCAGTCAACATTGCAAAAACAGATTGTCTAGTTTTTGTACTTCTGCTGTTTGTAGGTTATGTTTCCTTCATTGCAACAGTAACTTCATTTCAACAGTAACTTCATTTCAAAAAGTCCTTAATTGACTGCAAAGTATTTTGAGATTTCAGTGGTTGTGATAAATGCCGTATAAGTGCACATCTATCTTTGTTTTGTGTGTGTGAACAGTACCAGATTTGATATCGATATCCTCTGTTCTCTTTTACTGAACCAGTCTAGTTCCAGATTGTTGCGAAGCTGGTTGTGTTTGGTGATTGACAGTTTCTACACAATGTCCTTCACAGCTGTCCCATCAAAACAGGTTAACTTTAACTGAAGGACAGTGTGTTTCATGACCTCAGGATGCCCTAATATCCAGTTGTGATGGAGTCACTAGTACAGTGTCAGGGAATACTGTATCATCTCACTCACAGGAAGCTCGCTCAAGCTGCAGAGAGAAATTCCGGATCATCTGGAGTATTGTGTTCAGTTTTGGGTGCCTTATTTAAGGAAGGATGTTAAAACCCGAGGGAGAATTAAATGAAATTTACTAGAATGATACCAGCAATGTGCGATTTTAGCTACAATGAGAAATTTGGTGTATTCTTCTTGGAGTGGAAGATTTAAGAGGTGACCATATTGAGGTGTTCAAAATTATGAACAGTTTTGCCAAGATGAAAAAGGATATGGTTGATTCTTAACTGCCTGCTGGCTAATTGGGGAATGGCAATATATGCTGGCCTGGCTAATAACACCCTCATTCTGTGATTAATAAAACATATATTTTGTTTCAACTAATTGGTACGTCAATAACTAGGGGTCACAATTTCAAACTTGTCAGCAAGAAAGTTAGGAGTGAAATGATGAGAAACTTCTTTACTCAGTTGTTAGGATTTGGAATACATTGCCTGGGAGAGTAGTGGAGGCAGGTTCCTTAGGAGGTTTCAAACAGTCTTCTGTACTGTAAATTTTTTTTTTTTTATTCACTCATGGGGTGTGGGCGTTACTGGCTGGCCAGCAGTTATTGCACATTGCTAGTTGCCCCTTGAGAGGTGCCCCAAATGGTGAGCTGCCCTCTTGAACAACTGCAGTCCATGTGCTGTAGATAGACCCACAATGCCATTAGGGAGGGAGTTCCAGGATTTTGACCCAGCAACAGTGAAGGAACAACAATACGTTTCCAAGTCAGGATGGTGAGTGTCTTGGAGGGGAACTTGCATGGGGTGGTGTTCCCATGTATCTGCTGCCCTTGTCCTTCTAGATGGAAGTGGTGGTGGATTTGGAAGGTGCTGACTGAGGATCTTTGGTGAATTTTTGCAGGGCATCTTGTAGATGGTACACACCACTGCTACTGAGTGTCGGTGGTGGAGGGAGTGGATGTTTGTGGATGTGGTGCCAATCAAGCAGGCAGCTTTCTTTCTTACTGAAGTCATTTTACAAGCGATTTGAGAATCTATTGACAAAATTGGCACGTGGTGCCTGCTTCCACTTTTAGAAACAGCTTCTATATTGGGTTATCCAACCGAAATCTGCACTATTCTATTCACTGTCTGGATGTTGGCCGTTGCTGGCTGATTGCCTTGTCCTGCCCCTAGTTTAGCCTCTGGAGGTGGAACGATAATGTGCCTGAGCTGCTTTGTGATGGTTTGCTAAAACTGTGTGATGGCCTCCAACACTTCTGGGCCAGGTCAGCGATAGTCAGCTGTGGTGGTGGATGGAGGAGAATTGCAGTCATACATAAATTGGAATGGGTAGTATTACAAGTTTCTTTCCAGTAAACCTGATGAGTTTCTGCAAAATTGACACTTTAAGTTGTCAGACTCCTCTGGTGGAATTTGAATTTATAGTCTTTGAGTTAATCATTCTGATTACTTGCTCTGTAACTTATTGTGATAGTTGTACGGGGACACCCTGATCTCTCTGTTTCACAGTATTCTCTCGTCTCTCCCCGTTGAATTAATAATCCATTTTTCTGTTGTTCCTGCTAAAGCAGACAATCTCAATTTCCTCAACAAAAACAAAGTTGCTGCAAAAGCTCAGCAGGTCTGGCAGCATCTGTGAAGAAAAAATCAGAGTTAACATTTGGGGTCTGGTGACCCTTCTTCAGACCCGAACCCAAACTCAGTCACCGACCCGAAACGTTAACTCTGATTTTTTTTTCACAGATGCTGAGCTTTTGCAACAACTCTGTTTTTGTTCCTGATTTACAGCATCCACAGCTCTTTTGGTTTTTAACCTCGGTTTCCTACATTACATCCCAACTGAAATGTTTTTCCACATCAATGTCTCTTGACTGACCTTTTTGTGAACGTCTTTCAATTTACTTTCCTACCTTTACTCATCTGCCTTTAATCACCTTTGAATTTTTCATCAGACAAGAAAAAATTCAAGAAGCGTCGTTATGATAACGAGGAAGAGGATGAGGATGAGCTTTCCATGGATACCGAATCTCAGGAAGCTGTCCCTTCTGCGGCTGGGAAACAGGTGGAGCAGACTGTGGTTAAGGAAGATGAGTACGGAGCCAAGGATTACAGGACACTGATGAGCCTAAAAGAGGATCACACCTCCAGACCACTTTGGGTGGTAAGTCAGCAACTGTGGCTTGTGTCAGGATTGACTAACTGACAAGACAGTGTTACATTGAAAGGGTCATTTTTGAATTAGCAAACTACAGCTAGTGGAATACAACATAGAACAGTATAGTATATGAACAGGCTGTTTTGCCCACCATATCTGTGCTGAACATGATGTCATTATAAATGAATCCTATCTGCCTGCACGTAGTCCATATCCCTCTATTCCCTACCTGTTCACGTGTCTAACTAAATGCATCTTAAACATTGCTATCAAATCTGCATTTGTCACCTTCCCTGGAATGTAGCATAGATCAGTCTGGGATCCAACCACTTTGTGTCTTTAATAATGATTGGCACCCCAGCTTGGTAATGTCCTTGGTAATGACTTGCACAAGCAGACCCATTGTAACCTAATTTGCATCTGACACAAAGATAAGTGGGAAAGCACTTTTTTTTTGTATTTATTCATGGTATGTTCTTGTCACAGACTAGGCCTTCACTTACTCCTTTCCCCAGTTGCCTTTGAGAAGTTGCTGCCTTGAACCTCTACTGTCTATTTGGTGTAGGAACATCCACAGTGCCCGTAGGTAGGGAGTTCTAGGATTTTGACCTAAACCTGTATGCATGCAGCAGTCCTTGTTTTAAAACAATTTTTTTTTTTCCATTCCAGTCCCCAGTTAAATTTACAGGAAAAAAGTCTTTATAGGGTCTTGATCAAGTAAGTAAAGAGAAAAATGTTTCCATTGGTAGGAGCATTAATAACCAGAGCTACACAGATTGAAGATAATTAGCGAAGAATGGCAGGAGAGGTGAAATGCAGCATTTTAGTAGAGCAGGTTTTTTTTGCTATGGAATATGATTTAATAGAAACTTTCAAAAAGAAACTTGAAGACATTGACAGGGTCTGGGAGTAGAGGACTAAGTGGCTATCACTTTCAAAGCACCAGCACAGGCACAGTTAACAGAATAACCTCCTGTGGTTCACTGGTCGCAGTTGCATACACAGCTTCGCTCATTTATGGGGTGTTTTAATTGTGCTTTTTAAATTTTGTGTCTTTAGGCTCCAGATGGACACGTTTTCCTTGAAGCCTTCTCTCCAGTTTATAAATATGCACAAGACTTCCTGGTAGCCATTGCTGAGCCAGTGTGCAGACCCACACACACGCATGAGTATAAATTAACAGCGTACTCCCTGTACGCGGCAGTCAGTGTCGGGCTACAAACAAGTGATATTATCGAGTATCTGCAGAAACTGAGCAAGACATCAATTCCTGAAGGGATCGTACAGTTCATTAAGGTGAATTTCTATTTAATACTAAATAAAAAGACCAAAGAACTGAGATAATAGAAATCAGAAACAGAAACTGCTGGAAAAACTCAGCAAGTCTGGCAGCATCTGTGGAGAGAAAGCAGAGTAAACATTTTGGTTTCAGATACCTTTCTTCAATGTTTCACTATAGATAGTTCTGAAGAAGGGTCACTGGACCCAAAATATTAACTTGGAATTCTCTCCTCAGATGCTGGCAGACCTGCTGGGTTTTCCCAGCAATTTCTGTTTTTGTGTCTATTCAGTACTGGTTGCTGAGTTCACAACACTGGCTTGGCAGGGTATTTGCCACCCAGTGCCAGTTGCTCTGGACTTTGTTATGAAGTAGTATGAGCATGAACCAGACTATGTGAAGACTGAAGGACATTAGTGAGCCACTTGGGTTTGTGTGACAGCCCAAGGTTTGCGTGGTATTTCACCTGATGCCCTGTCCAGAAGGTTTACTATGTTCAGTTCGTCAGCTTGTCGTATTGGGACTTGGAGTGTTCAGACTCTGGTATTGTGAGTCTAATGTCAGAAGCACTATGCCATCGTATTCTTGGGCTGACTGTATATTTTGCACATACAGGAAGGTCTTTGTAGATCTGATAAGCAATATCAAGATACAATAAAAGCAGAAAGTTGAAATCTGAAAAGAAAACAGAAAATGCTAGAGAAACTCAGTAAGTGCAATAGCATTGTGGAGCAAAAGACCAAGTTAATGTTTTGAATCAAATAGACTTCTTTGGAACAATCGCTCCCTCGGTTTGAAATGTGTCTTCACAACAATCTGTCTTTATCTCATCCCTTTAACACAGCTCAACCAAAGCAATGGAGTGATTTAAAATATCAGAAAATCTTACCTAGCTCTCACACACTGTGTGTACCAGTTTGCAATAGGGACCCAGTGATTGAGAGATTGTTAAACGGGGCAGATGTGTTCTTAGAACCACTTGCCTTATCCAGGCCAGGTTGGGCCCCGTCCCGGGAGATGGCGGGGAAGGGGAATGAAATTTTTCTGGTGGAAAGATGAATGTGAATTATCTTTGTTGTGTTTGTTCCTACAGCTGTGCACTGTTAGTTACGGCAAGGTGAAATTGGTCCTGAAACACAACAGGTAGGATACGCTCATAAGTTCTTTCTCAAGTTTTTTTTTTAGTAATATCCTGACCTTTACAACACTGTTGGAGGGTCAGTACTAAGGGAGTGCTGTACTGTCATAGAGTCAGTACTGAGGGAATGCTGCACTGTCATCTATGAACCTGCTGATCGTGCCTTGGACATCCATGTCAAGATCATTACTGGACACATTCTCATGACATGGACACATCATCATGAATGTATGTGACTGTCATCCCTCGGCCTGAGAGGTATGGTAGGGTAAATTGTCGGGGTCTTTTCCCCGGGGTGGGGGAGTCCAAAACTAGAGGGTGTAAGTTTAAGGTGAGAGGGGTAACATTTAAAAGGGACCTAAAGGGTAACCTATTCATGCAGAGGGTGGTGTGTGTGTGGAATGAGCTGCCAGAGGAAGTGGTGGAGGCTGGTACAATTACAACATTTAAAAGGCATCTGGATGGGTACATGGATAGCAAGGGTTTACGGGGATATGGGCCAAATGCTGGCAAATTGGACTGGATTTTTCTGGGATATCTGGTCGCCATGAATGAGTTGGACGGAAGGGTCTCTTTCCATGCTGTACAACACTATGACTAATAAATCGGTGGTACTCCATGTTGAACAGTACTTGCAGGAAGCACTGAGGTTAGCAAGGGTGCAAAACGTACTCTTGGTAGGGGATTTCAACCACCACAAGTGGATCGGCAGCAGTGTTCCTGATCGAGCTGGTCAGGTCCTAAAGGACATTGCGGCTAGACTGGGTCTGGGTTAGCTGATGAGGGAGTAACCAGGGTCAGTGCTGAGGGGTTGCCGCACTGTCGGAGGGTCAGTGCTGAGGGGTTGCCGCACTGTCGGAGGGTCAGTAATGAGGGGTTGCCGCACTGTCGGAGGGTCAGTGCCGAGGGGTTGCCGCACTGTCGGAGGGTCAGTGCCGAGGGAGCGCCGCGCTGTCGGAGGGTCA